GTTGTTTGGGTTTTTTAAATATTTTTTTATTTTTTTAAGCATCCGAGCAGAGAAACAAGAAGCGAGCTATGATCACCGATGTTCAGATCTGGCACTTGAAGAAGAAAAAGTAGTACCGGGGCCTTAACAATACTAACCGGGTTTTGGGTTGTTGTCTTTTTTTTTTTAAGGGACGAGGGGGATGTTCCAATATTATATTATTCATACATTAGTTAAGGCCAAAGTACGACCTCGAATTTTTGCTTAGTTCAGGATTTTACTTCGTCGGCCAGGATCGTATGGCATGAGGCGAAAGACAAATTTGCCTATAGGTAGTTATTACAGTAGTGTAGTAAGTCTGCCGTAATTGTTAAAAATACAGTAATATTCAGTTTTTGCAATTTTACAGAAGGGCCACCCCCCCCCCCCCCAAAAAAAAAACAACAACACACAAACAAAACAAACAACAACACCACCCTGAATATTGTTATCAAGAAAAAAATCTTTGCAAACATCATCATCAATCATCAACGCCTTTCACCCCTGGCAGGGTATAGGCCTCATACAAGCTCCTTCCATTTATCTCTATCCTGGGCCATCCTTCCTAGCTAGTTCCAAGTGAGCTTCATCTCTCTCATGTCCCTTTCCACACATCTCCTCCATGTCTCTCGTGGCCTACCCCTGCCTCGTGCTCCCTGTGGGTTCGATAATAACTCCCTTTTATTGGTGACAACATTCATGGTTTTAGCGCCCCCAAAGAGGTTATAAATACACATAGTACTTCAATACTAGTAACCTCTTTGAGCTCTCCTGAAAAATTGTAAAAACCGCATTTTATACTGTGTTTTAAAAAAATGACGACTGAAGTAGCCTATCCCCACCTGTCACGCGGGGCACTGAGGTTTGATTCCCCGCCGGGAAGGGTTGTTTTTGTCCTGAAACAGAGAGAAGTAAAAAATAATTCCACTGTGTCTTGGCATAAATAAATTGCGACATGTAACCTATACGCATTTTCCTTTTCCAGACCACATATAGAGTGCGTACCCCAGCTCTAGTGAACTTGGGTCAACCACCATGGGAGATTCAGAAGTCCCTCAGAAGAAGCTGGAGGTGAGAGTCGCCACCGTGGACGACTATGAAAGCGTCCTTGACATTAACCGAAATGTCTACGGCGGGGCCGATTACATCGTCACCGATTACCATGACCTCGTGATCGATCCTGACTTTCGGTACTATGTCTGCACGGTGGACGGAGAAGTGGTGAGTGAACACTGATGTTGCAGAAACGTGTACGTTCAAATGGAAACAGATGAGTTTTCTTTTCTTTTCTTTTTTTTTTTACAAAACAAATTGGTCAGAGGAAAAAAAAAAACACCAAACGACCAACCCCCTCCCCTCCCAACAAAAACGGTGTGTGTGAGTGTGTGTGTGTTTCTGGGGGAGATGGGCTGTATTTCTGTATTCGGATTGTGTACATGTAATACACGTATATTCTCGGATATACACTTGGCCATACACTTGTTTGTATGCTAAACTCTTTAGATATATATGTGTGTCATAGTGCATTTTGTATTTTAAAAATTATCTTGAAATAAGATAATATATTATGAGAAAATACGATCCGAAAGAAATGGAGTTCCCATGCGCGCTTTTCCACAACATCGGGTAAAGTTTAGGATTTGTTTTTCTTTTGTAAGTTTTTTGTTGTTGTTTTGTTTCTGATTTGTTTTGTTTGTTGGTTTCTTTGTTGGTTTTTGGTAGCCAGTTGGCACCTCTGAATTACGCATTAAATCCACTGCACGTGTTGTCTTCTCTTCAGGGTGGCTTCGAAGGTGTTTGTATACTGGACGATGGAGACACACTCATGACCCGCTCAGCCAGGGTCAAGGACAAGTTCCAAGGTCTGGGCATCCTCCGCCTCATCAGGAAACAGATCTACCAGGACTTTCAGTCGAAGCCCGGGAAAAAACGCATCCGCACCTGCTGCACGAATCTGGTCCGTCTTGTGCACAGTGAGAGGTTCCGCAAGGCAAACAGGACACTGGCTGTACGGGTAAGAGATGGAGAAGAATTGGTGGGAGAGGGTAGGATATAGAGGGATAGAGGGGGAATGGGGAGGAAGAGGAGAGAGGGAGAGAGTGGAAGGGAGAGGGAGGGAGAAAGAAAGAGGGGGGATGGAGGGGGGAGAGA